CTAGGTATAATATTTGATATATAGGTTAGCAACTACAATATAACCAGATCCAATCAATCATAAAATTTGTGAACTGTCCCATATAAATCTAATTATTTCTATTTCTACTGTCACTTCACTTGTCAGAATAATAGAACACAAAATTGTAAAAAAAAAAAGTGAAAAGCACATTTCACTAAATATATTAGAACAGCTATCATTTCCCAGTCTTCTTTATTTCCACCCAGAGTTTAATCAATTTTTCCTTAATGAAATACCAAATAATAAGCCACCAAGCAATGGCTATTTCTCTTGCGGGCAGGGAAGGGAAGCATCTTTAAAATGGCCTAATAATTAGGCCTTACATAAACCGCCCTTCACATAACATGCATTTAACTAATTATTATTCATTGTTTGCTATTAATCATGCAATAGTGCCCAAAAATACATCCCATTATTGCCCTCAATAAGCTTGTTGGGGCTGTGTGTCAACTTGGCTGGACCATGATGCTGAGTTGTTTAAGCAGTTGTGATGTGATTATGCCTGTGATGAGATTGGATGTATAGGCTTTGAGCAGCCAATCTGTTGAAAGGGAGTTTCCCTAGGTGTGTAGCCTGCTTTCTATATATATATATATATAGAGAGAGAGAGAGAGAGAGAGAGAGAGAGAGAGAGACATTCTGGAAAAATAGAACCTTCTATGGATCTGGATCCTGTTAGGCTGCCTACAACTGTCCCTGAATTCCACCATTCTGCCTGGTGATCTTGGATCCATCATCCGCCTAAGTCAACAGCTGATATACTGCCTGCCGACCTTGAGCTTATCAGCTCCTGTAGCTGAATGAGTTGGGAAAAGGCTCCATTTTGACATTTGATCCAGGAACTTAGCACCTGTCAGCTTGTATAACTGTGGGAGCCATTTTCCTAAGATAAATCTCTCTCTCTCTCTCTAATCTTTATGCATTTTGCTTCTCTAGAGAACCCAGCCTAACACAGCTTGCTAATTAGAGGGAAGGAAAAAAGCTAATGATCAAATAATTCTACAATATAATGTAAAAATGCAAGTGACAAGTATTTAAAAACCCATAGAACTTTGGAAGTCTATGATAAGGAGATTTGATACAGACACAGAGACAAAGGAAGGTTGAAGATAGTTGAAAATTTTGAGCAGTTATCTCAAGACTGACTCAATTAGGTTAAAAACAAACAACTATTCCAGGAGAGAGTATTGCCATGCTCAAATGTGTGTAGGAGACTAGTTCCATTGCAGACAGAAAACACACTTTATATGATTCCTATTATGCATAATTGTTAAGGCTTAATTGCCCATGATATGGTTTTCTTGTAGATTATATAGCATGCATGTGAAAAGAATGAGTATTATGATGTTGTTGGGTGTAGCGTTCTCTCAATTATTGTGTGAGGATTACTGAAATCTGACTGTAACTATAAATTTTTTATTTCTCCTTGCAGTTCAATCAGTTTTTAATTCATGTATTTTGAAGGTCTCTTAATAGGTACATAAAAATTTATCGTTGTTGAAGTCTATTTGATGAATGAATTTATCACTTTATCATTATAATAAAATCATCACTTCCTGTGTTTCTGGTAATAGTCTTTCCTCTTAAGTACATATGTAGATATTGATACAGATATAGATATAAACAGACACAAACAGACTGACATTCTATGGTTAGTGTTAGCATGATATATTTTTCTTTCCTTTTATTTTTTACCTATTTTTGTCTTAGAAGCTCTGGTAGCGTAGTGCCTAAGGCACTTGACTGCTAACCAGAAGGCTGGCAGTTCAAACCCACCAGCCACTCCTCAGGAGGAAGGTTGGGCAATCTACTTCCATAGTGATACTGCCTCGGAAACCCAAGGAAGGGTAGCTATGAGTCAGTACGGCTCGACGGCACATAATAACAACATTTTTGTCTTTATGTTTAATGTATTCCTTGATTGCCAAATACAGTTGAGTATTTCTTTGATATACAATCTGGTGATCCCTGCCTTTTAATTCTGTATTTAAGTCATTCAAAGTTAATATGATTATTTATATGATTACTTCTAAGTCTACCATTTTGCTATTTGTTGTCTGTTCCTCTCATCTTTTCATTGTTCCTTTTTTTTCTTTTTCTGTGTTCTTTTTAATTAATTGTACAGTATTTATGATTCCATTTCATCTCTTTTATTAGTTGATTACCCATAATTTTTTTATTTTGTTATTTTAGTAGTTGCTTGTACATAAATTTTTTTTATTGCTGCTTAACAAATTACCCCACATTTAGCATCTTAGAAGAACCCACATTTATTAACACACAGTTTCCATGGGGCGAGATTTCAGATACAGCTTCCAAAAGTCAGGGTTTTAGGTTCTGCTCAGTATCTAAGAAGGTTGCAATCAAAGTGTTGGTCAGTATTGGCTCTGTTGTCTTCTGAAGGAAAAAAAGTAGAAAAAGAATCAGCTTCTAAATTCATTCAGATTTGCTAGCAAATTTCATCTTCTGGTGGTGGCTGTATGACTGAGGGCTTCACCTTCATATTGAATGTCAGTCAGATTTTATCTTCAGGTCCTAGTGAGCACCATTTTTTTATTTCCCTTATTCAGTTTTGACCATTACTATTATCAACTTTTAACTCATTTTCATCCCTTCCCCCAAAATAAAAACTATACCCTTTAGAAGTCACTCCACATGCCTTCCCACCACCCTCTTCTCTGAACCATATTGTTGTTATGTGCCATCGAGTCAGACCCAACTCACAGTGACCCATCCTTGGGTTTCCAAGGTAGTATCACTACGGAAGTAGATTGCCCAACCTTCCTTCCGAGGAGTGGCTGGTGGGTTTGAAATGCCAGCCTTCTGGTTAGCAGTCAAGTGCCTTAGGCACTACGCTACCAGAGCTCCTTCTCTGAACCCTAGTCAACCACTAATCTTTCTGTATCCACAGATTTGCATAATCTGGGCATTTTATATGAATGGCTCATACAATAAGTAGTCTTTTGTGTCTGATTTCTTTCGCTAGCATAATGTTTTCAAGGTTCATCGATGTTGTACCATGTATTAATACTTCATTCCCTTTTCAAAACAACCAAACTCACAGCCATCAAGTCGATTCCAACTCATAGCAACCTCTACTGGGTTTCCGAGGCATAAAATTCCATTGAATGGATACTGCTAAACTTTCTCAAAGCAGATGTAGTGCATTATTTTATTTTCTTACCAGTAGTGAGTTTGTTCCACTTTTTCCATATCCCTACTACCACTTGTGATTGTCTATTTGACTATAACTATGCTTAACTTTTTGATCATATGGAATACAGCTGTAACTGTTTTAATGTCCTTGTCTGTTGATTGTGACATCTGTTTCAATTCTGGCCAGTGATCAATTTTTCTCTTCATTATGGGTTTTATTTTCCTTCTTTCTGCGTCTGTTAATTTTGAATTGAATGACAGACATTGTAAATTATGCTTTATTGGTTGCTAAACTCAACTCACTGCCTGAGTCAGATCAGATTCATAGGGACCCCTCCTTGGGTTTTCCAGGCAGTATCACTAACAAAGTAGATTGCCCAAACTTCCTTCTGAGGAGTAGCTGGTGGGTTTGAAGCATCAGCTTTCAGATTAGCAGTCAAATGCCTTGGGCACTACGCCACAAGAGGTCCTTTATTGGTTGCTAGATATTTCTAAATTCCTATAAATATTATTGACCTTGGTCTGTCATATAGTCAAGTGACCTGTAAACACTTTGATGCACTCAGGTCTTTAAGATTTGCCACGTGGCACTAAAGTAGTGATCAGTCTAGGGCTAATTATTTCCTATTCCTTAGGCAGGACCTATCTGTGTACTCTACTCAATGCCCCAGAGATTATGACCGATGGAAATAGTTACTATTATTGCCTCAGTGTGATCTTCACGCAGTTAGCTTTAAACTCAGCAATTCTTTCCCTAGCCTAGGGTAGTTTCCTCAGATAAGAAGTGATCAGTACCTGGCTGAATACGGGAGGGAGCCCACTACAGATTTTTGAGTTCTCTCTGAGCAGTTGCTTCCTTTCTCGTATACTTTGTACAGACCATTAGCTCCTTTGGTTTCCTTGGAATTTTAGGTTCATCTTGTCCATTCAAGTAGTCTGCTAAGCTGTTTGGGTTCCCTCCCCTTGCACTGCATCCTGGAAAATCTCTAAAGGCAGTAAGCTTGACAATCACTGAGCTCACATCATTTGTTTCCTGTCTCCAACTTCACTGTTCCTTGTAACCTGTTGCCCAGTCCTGGAAGACAGTCCCTTTCTTTCACTTCTAGCACAGTGAAATTATTTGTTTTTGTTGTTATGTGCCCTGGAGTCCGACCGACTCATAGCGACCCCTCCTTGGGTTTCTGAGGCGGTATCACTATAGATCACCCAACTTTCCTTCCAGGAGTAGCTGATGGGTTTGAACCGCCAACCTTCTGGTTTAGATAAAGTGAATTCCAGGCACTTCCCCTGGGAGCTCTGGCAGCATAGTGGTTAAGGCACTTGACTCTAACCGGCTGGCGGCTCAAACCCACCAGCCACTCCTCCTGGAAAGGAAGATGGGCCAATCTACTTCCATAGTGATACTGCCTCGGAAACCCAAGGAGCGGTCGCTATGAGTCCGTCAGACTCAATGGCGCATAACAGCAACAACAAGGCACTTCCCGTAAGGCACAAATTGAGCATAACGCCCCACCCTCCTACGCACTCACAGAGTACACTGGTCCCAACGCCCGCCCTAACTCTAGCCGCCTGCACCGCCTACAATCAGGTGCGCAGGCGCAGAATACGCAGGCGCCCGCCGCGCTCAACCACATTGCGGCTGCGCTAGAGGGGTGGGCCAAAGCGTGACTCTGCGCCTGCAATGAAAAAGCACGCTGGTCCTTGCTTCCCGCCCCATTTACTCGGGAGCCAATCGCCTGCCCCTGCGCGCAGTCCGCGAAGGATTCAAAGCGTCTGGAGACATTGGCTTGAGATAGATGAGCGGAAGTCAGACCCGTGGGATGATGGAGGCTCCGGGGACAGAGACGGAATCAGCGGCACTGAAGTGAGTGTGTGCCACCAAGGGTAGAGGAGCATGAACAGGAAGGATTGTGCCTACTCCCATGTACTGTGGAGGGTCTAGCTTACCCTGTCCAAAAAAAAAAAAAAAAAAAAAGAAAAAGAGAAAAACACTTCTAGAACCCGACTAATAGCGACTCATTGGGTTTCCCAGGCGGTATTTCTAGGGAAGTAGGTTACCCAGTCTTCCTTGTGAAGAGTGGCTGGTGGGTTTGAATGACCAGCTTTCTGGTTAGCAGTCAAATGCCTTAAGCACTACGTCACCAGAACTCCTAGGACTATTAATTTTCGACACCGGGGGGAAAGGGGCTCTCATCCTTGTCTTCCTGTATTAGGTGCCTGAGTTGATTCTTGCTCTCTCAAGGAGTACGACGTAGAAAATACTGGCTGCTCCTCACGTACATAAGCTCCCCAGGGCTGTGTCCTAGAAGGGAGCTAGTCAATCCTTGTGGACTATCCACATCCCTTCGCAGGTCGCCCACTTCAGGCAGACAAGGTTCCACCTCATGAGATATCTTGAAAGGGCCATTTAATTTTTGTGTCCTCTCCTCCCAACATACATGCACTCATTCACACACACACACTCTCCTTCATATGCACGCTAACAC